AGCGACAGAACTTGTTAATCTGTCAAGTGCTCTTTGCGCATCCTCCATAGATTCGAACAGGTAAACAATGTCAGCGTACTCCAAATCGCATAGCTTTTCTGCAGCTGCCCATTGAATACCTACATTTTAGAGACCACTTAATGTGTCCTCCAGTCTTTCGTCTATGACGAAATTGAACAGAAATGGCAAAAGAGAGCACCCTTGAAGAACACGGTTGCTAGTTACGAACGACCTACTCAGCCGTGGAACCTTACGCTATCAGAAGTGAGTAGAGTGAACTCAATATTTTCACGTACTTCCGCGATATTCCTTTAGGAAAAAGCGAACTCATTAGCGATTCGCGGTCAACTGAGTCGAAGGCTCCTTTTAGGTCAAGGAACATCACAACCGTTGGTCGACGGTGCTTATGGCGTAGCTCGAGGACTTGGCACAAAGTGAAGATTTGATCGACACAACCGCGGCCTGGTCGAAATCCTGCTTGTTGTTTGCAGTTATTTGTCTCCCTAGACGGTGTCAGACGTCGAAGTATGATGGAGGCTAGTAACTTCGTGACGATTGGGATCAAGCTTACTCCACGGTTGTTTGCGCAGTCGTTGCGAGACTCCTTTTTAAAAATGGGAACAATCAATGATTCGCTCCAGGATGATGGAATGCGCTCATATGACCAGATGTTGCGCATTACATCAGTAATGGAGTCTACGAGGTCATCGCCTCCCAACTTGAAGAGAGCGGGGGGAAGCCCGTCCGGTCCTGTTGCTTTTCCTTTCTTCAGGGCTTGGATGTATGATCGAACTTCTGCTGCAGTAGGAGGTTCACATGGCACTTCCCATGGAGCCGCAACTAAAACAGATGATATAGTCTGGTTAGCACCTGGCCAGCTGAACTGTTCGTTGAAGTACTCCGCCCACCAGTCAAGCCGTTGTTCCCAATTGTGAATAGTCTGTCCACTTTTGTTGCAGATTGTTTCACTAACTGGTTCTCTTACCTCCAGTGTTGCGTATCAGTTGGAACAGTCCGTGACTGTTCCCTGATGCAACTACGACTTCCATTTCACTAGCTATCGTTGTCTACCAGTTCTCACAATATTTATTGAAGCTCTTCTTGAGTTGTCGTTGCAGGCACCACCTACTGCATTGATCCCGGGCGGTGGGGATTTGCCGCTTTTTCTCCATCAGTGCTACTGAATCATCAGATATCCAACGCCTCGGGCAGACTGCCGCTTCAGACCCACGAGCAACTCTCGCGGCGGAGTGCAATACTCGTCTAATCTGATCCCATCGTTCATCTACACTACCACCCCGCCGAGCGTTTGTCTCTTGACCTATTTCTGATGCAAAACGGGCACGAACGGCTGAGTCAGATAAACGATGATCTGCCAACCATGTTTGGTGGTTTTTTGTGACCAGTGATTTGGAGAGTGAACTGCATCAACACTAATGCATGGTCCGATTCAACACAAGTGGTCCAATAGAACCTGCAGTTTTGTTCTGAGCCACGCCAACGGTGGCTTATTGCTGTGGTCGATTTGAATTAGCTCACCAGGTAAATTTGGGCCCCACGTTGCTGTCCGTTGAGAGCTGTGACGGAAGCTGGTGCTGGATAGGAACAGATGATGATCGGAGCAGAACTGAAGTCGATCGCCATTATCTGTTCGCTGGCAGGGCAGAGCACAATACCCGCCTAGGCAAGCTTCCGATGCGCTCAGTTTACCGAATTGAGCGATAAAATCACCTGCGAGAACAACTATATCGGAGCTTCGACTCAACCGAATGAGTTCGGTGAGTTTACCATAAAAGTCGCCCTTTTGTTCGTCAGAACTGCAGTTCGTCGGAACACACGCTGAAGTGATGAACAGATACCTTTTGATGTTGCTTCCCTTCCGGACGTTGATGGACCCTTGGAGCCGCATCGCACATAAACGAGTATTGACGGGAATCCAATCGAGTAGTGCAGCTTCGGCATTATTATTGAGTACAATATCCGCGCCACACTGGCCTACTGAACGGGCTTCGTCATCACCTGACGCGCGGAGGAAGAACCTCGAAGACAACCCCGGTGTACTTAGGTGATTTATAGAACTAGGATCCTGGATTCGCGTCTCCGATACGTAACAGACATCAATGCCTAAAGCGTCCATTGTATGCGCCAGACACGCTTGTTGACCTATCTGCATCAAAGTCCTTACGTTGAAGGCCCCCAGATTCAGTGGCTGACGAGGCTTCGGAATCTGCAATTTACCGGGCTACTTGGCGACGAACTTTGGCGAGTGACGAACAAGTTGTCTGAGGGAATGTTACGGGTTGGGAGAAGCGGTAGAAAGGGTTGGGAACGGAAGGCAAAAAGTTGAACAAAGGTTAGGATATCTGAGCAGTAGCCCACTTATCACTACCCACCCCGCTCGATGCAGTGGGCAGCGCGGTCCTGCTATCCTGCGCAACGACCGATGCAGTATGGGATTATTTTTTGTTTGTGTATGCATTTGAGTTTGATGGACGAGTACTGCCAGGGTGTCGAGCCACTAAGCAGGAGAACGATTAGGTTTCTCGTCCATCTGAAATGGATGTTTCCCGCTCGAGTTTCATTCCACCTTGCTCATTCTCACTTTGTGTATATTGTCTGCCAGCTATCACTGCATTTCTATGCCATGATGTTGAATGTGGACTGAAAGTCTGTTCCGAGGGAAGGAGGGATGGGAAGAAAGTGACTTAGTGATAAACGCTGGATAACTATGCTTAACTTGCCAATTTTTCTGATCCATTTAGAAGTGCCGGAAAGACCACTCTGTAGGTTCATTGTCTCTTACATTGTATCCAACTGACCAGCTACAGGATCGTTTGCACACCAGTCTGCAAGACGGGAGACACTTCCTAATTGCTCTCTCTATTCCTTCATGCCTCGTCCGATTGTCGCCTGTTGACCTCTGTGATTTCCACCAACTTTGAGCAATAACAGCGAACAGGGCTAGTTGCGGCAGACCACAGTTGGGCATACGCGGTATGTCCTCATAGTCAAACTCCACTAATCTCGAAATGGTCACGAATTTTTCACCGATTTATTCTCACCGAACAACGTAAAAATCGACAGCCGAAGACTTCTTGAGGATGGATGTATACCACGAGCGATTTTAGAGTCTCAAAACTGTAAGGCAGTATTTACGGCAGTGTACGCAACCTTTTGATTTTAAGAAAAAATCACGTCGATTCCGAAGGTGTTTCGGTCATGTGTACACTACTAGGGCCTAGAACACGCTGGCGTTTACTTCTATGATTGTGCCATCGTCATTTGTCACATAACTACCTAAATAGGAAAAACAATCCACCATAAGTAGTTCGTGGCCATCAGGCGTCAGAGCCGGGGCGAACAAAACAGCCTTACAGCATCACTTTGAAGGTGCAAAGTGCATATCGAGCACAGTAACAGCTTGTTGGTCTGTTAAATGCGTCTCATGTCATCCCTTATGTGGAGAAAACAGACAGTATCGTCAGCATGCTCCAAATCGTGCAGCTTTTCTCCAAGCGCCCATTGAATAGCAACATTTTGGAGACCACTCGGTGTGTTCTGTGTTTCGTTCAACGACGAAGTTGTTTAGATATGACGAAATAAGATAGCATTGACGAACGCCGCTCCTCTTTCCAATGATTTGCTTCTCTGTATACCCTACCTGAAGTATGCCATTTTGGGTTTCCTCAGTACGTTGGTACACCTCTGCGGCATTCCTTTTCGAAGAAATGGGCCAGTTTCAGTTTTACGGTTAACGGAGTCATATGCTCTGTTAAGTAACACTGTGATCGTGAATCCGCGATGTGTTGCAACTGCGACCTAGTTGGAATTTTGCTTGCCATTCGCGAACACTGCCTCTCCGTGGCAGGGCTGTTTTCCCACCAAAGTGAGAGACTGAAAAGCCATCATCCTGGGCCATAAACCGGGTCGATAAACCACTGACAATTCACTTAGGGGTTTAGTTAAAAGCACTGACTTCAAAACAACCAAGAAAAAGGATACGAGTCACACCTCCCAACTTTTTTGGTTGTAGCAGCGGCCACAGGCCCAAGTGGGAATTGAGGTGTATTGGCACCTTGGACGCTTGACCCTATCCAAAGGGCCTATGACCTGATGAACTGACACCGGCTCCCAATGGTCTTCACACAGCCCCACTGCCTTGCGATATGCAACGACCCTTGATGTTGCGGATCAGGTGACTATCCCTGATTTAGCGACTAATTCCATTTCATTACCTATTTCTGTTCATCAGTTTTCACGATCTCTCTGGGGGCTTTTCCAGAGTTGACGTTGCAGACAATATCTGTCTCAACAGTGGTCCTGCAGATAGGAACTTTTGACTTTTGTCCCACCAGAACTACCGACTTTTGAGGGATCCAATGTCTTGAACGGACCGGTTGGATCTTTAACTGACCTTTACTGCCAAGCGCGTTGCACGTTTAATTTAATCCCACTGTTGATCTACTCCAATAAGTCGAACTGCGAAGCGCATCAGAGCTAGTAAGACTCATTGCAGGTGGTTTAATAGGACCCACAGCTTCGTACTGAGCCACGTCAACGGTAGCTCAGTTCTGGTCATCTTTCCCTTTGGTCTAGTACATCGTGTTACCGTCCGTCGAGGGCTGTATCGAAAAATGGTATCAGGTAAAAACAATTGATGAACTACGCAGATATAACAGTCCATCGCTGTTGTTTGCTTGCTGGGCTGGAACAGCGAAACACCCTCCTCGACACTCTTCGGATGTGCTCAGGTTCCCAGCGTATTTTGGAATCACATGCCAGTACTATAATATAGTAATATAATATATATATATATATATAATATAATGTCCAGGTTGAGGAACAGGTGGATGAGTTCGGCGAGTATGTAAAAATAATGGTCCCTCTGCAGTTGGTCAGCGCACATGCAGCAATAAACACTTTTTAGTATGTCTTCCTTTTCGCACCCCAGGTTCGAAATGGTCGTTTATAGACATGCAACCTTTGCACTACTGTATCCTATGGAGGACAAGGTGGCTTCATAAATATCGGTTCATTAAAATTCTGGAAAACAGGAGTAGGACGTGCAAAAGATAAAAGTTGTTATGTTAGTCCTTTCTTTAAACATTGACCATGTATTTGAAGAGGCAAGCAGCGAT